GTTCATATTCTCACTGTTTGATTTTAGCATGACACAAAGCTCTGGCTGCAGTATATTGAATATTGCAAAAAAGCAGTAAGTAGGTTGTTAAATTGCACACTTGAATAATCTCTTGCTTTAAATTGTAAGCCTTTAGATGTCTTATAAAAAGATGATTTTGTATTGTTGTTTAGGGCAGCACAAAGTCTCTTAATAAAGTATTTGGTCAACTTCTACAGTATCATCCACATAACCCTAGTGAGTCTAGTTACTATTATCTTTAACAATGCTTTTATCAATGATACAAGTATGGATTAAAATGGTTGGTTTGGTGAATATTTTTTAGCTTTTTGGGTTATGGCTGCCAAGTGGGAGTTTGAAGACAGCAAGAACACTTCTGCTGCCAGGTATGCATGGTAATAATAAAATGTATTATAATAATGTATATTTATGTCAAGGTTGCTATTTCAGAGCCCTGCTTCAAAGAGGACTACGGATGAACTCTGAATCAAAACTACTGTGGCTTGAGGTGTGCACACATATTGAACTTGTTTATAATAGTTGCTCTCATTGCCATCTTGAAAGGTAGCTATGATAGATAGACTATCATTGAGCATGCAATACACCAATATCACTCTCAGAGTACAAAACACTTGAATTAAGGAAAAAAATACATTAAGTGCAATATTTGCAGAATGAAAGAGAGTAATACTCTGAAGCTTCAAGAAGTTATGATTTTTTAAATTTGTATTTTTACAAGAAAATGTACCTAAACGTATAAGGTATGCAACGCCGGACTTGTTTACATGCACTTGGAAAGCATTTTGTACAGTACATTTTGTGAGTTTTTTTATTAATTTTTGATATAATTGGTATATATATATTTTGTCTAAAGTGCAAATGGCCTCCATTTTGTTCAAATTTTGGGAGAATCAATCCTATTAAAATAGCATTAACCTGCTTCTAAAAGATTTTGAACAGGATGAATTCCCAATATTTACAGTACTGTATTTATCCATGTATAAGCCGCTCTCGTAGATAAGCTGCACCCCGAGTTTTAGGAACATTTTTGAGGAAAAAAAGACGGAAAATAAACTTTTCTCTTTATGATTGCCACTTGCGAACCAGGAGCCCATTACTAGGAGCCTTCCTCTTCCCATGGGCTTGTGAAACGGCATTTACCCCTCTTGGTGCTATTTTTAGATTTTCCCGCCATTCCCCGCACGATTATTGAGATGCCGAGTTGTGAAGAGCCGTCGGCCGCCGTCAGGTGTTTTTAGATTGAATTTTATATTTGTACAAGTGAAGAAACTTTTGCTTTTACAAAAACTATTTTGTAACAAAGATTCAGTGGCACCATTAACTATTATATTCAAATGTCTAAAGATAGTGAAAAGGTATAAAAGATAAGCGAAAAAGCTCATATATGAAAGAATCGCCATTTCTGGTCTTTTTACCAATGAATCTGATCAAAAAGCATGACAGTGAACACAAAATAATCTATTCTTATAATGAGTTCTTCATCTAAAAAAATGTGACAGATCACAAATGTAAAAATTAGCATTTACTAAATTTGTTTGTGACAGTTTTGTACTATATTTTGCATCTAAACAAAAGCTCTTCACAAATGAAGTTACCTTAACGGAATTTTGGCGCCTTTTTTCTTTAACAGCCGATGAACAGTCCTCTAAAATGTTGTGGGTACTTAATTGTCATATAAATTAGTCAACCCAAAAAGAGTTCCATTCAATGTCCATTGGCATGTAAAAATTTGCAATCAACCTAATCTAAGCTTACTTGCTTCAGTTTGCTCAAGTTGAACATTTTCCGCTTTTGTTCAATTTGAACCTTCGTTCCTCGTCTTCAACAGCCATTTGATTTCAAATTCTGGTTATCAGTTATTGAGTTAAAGATCCAGANAAACATAGCGATCATGCAGAAACCGTTTGTTGTTTTTTTTAAATATCAAAAACAGATTGTATTTGTTTAATATAAGAAACAATTTCTTAGGCTTATTTCTTGGGTATTCAAAATATTTACCCTGGATTCTTCACTTTAAGTGTGACAAAGTCACTTTACCAAAATAACTCCAAGACAAAACAATTGAAAATGCTCTCTGTTTATTGACTCAATAACCATGCACTTTTCAGTTTGATTTATTGACTTGTGTTTGTCAGAGCTAGATTTTTGGAGATTTAATAGTAATACTGAGAAGTTTGGGTTAAAATTTCTGTTCTTTAGTGTTTACCAAAAAAAWGAGCTTTTTTAAAACAAATAAGGCCAAATCAAATCAACAAATATAGTAAATTTAAGTATGCACAAATGAATTTCATAATTTCATTGCCACAAGAAATACTTTCTTAAACATTTGGAACTAATTTTTTTTTTTTACTTAAGTCAAGTATTTCATAATGTCGAATAGCTGAGATATTGGTCTATGATAGATACCTGTGAATAATTATTGTCAGTAGGTGTGAAAAAAGGTTTCTATCATTGCACGCTCAGGAGTCATCTGGCTTTGATGCAAAGGAATGGCTACCTTTCAATATGGAGCAGGGAACCGAAAAGGAGAMTATCGTGAAGAGGCAGTTAATTTGATTATGAATTTATTCTTTTAGTATTTTAGAATGGAAATGTTGCATGTTGACAAGGTATGATTTATCTTTGTATTGCATACTAGTGAATTTTAACTATTGTAARGAGCAATGGTTTTAGTTTGGACATGGTTTAGACATGTTACTTATTTTTGTTCCAATTAAGGTTATGAAGCGTAGGAGCATTCTTGGACTTGCAGACATGAATGAGGTTTGTGTCAGACACAATTGATAGCCAAAATTCTTATTATTACATAAATTTCAAAAGTTAGACAAAGTTTGACTTCAAGACTTCATGGGAGCGAACTGACATAGATAGTAATATCAATAGGGGGTGAGATGGTGGGGGCGAGATGGCATAGTGGGGGCGAGGTGGTGGGGGTGAGATGGCAATGGGGCGAGATGACCGGTAACGTGTGTAATTAGTCACAAATCTGATAATTTATACTGTCCAATTGACAAGCAYCAATGCATGCCTGTTTGTCTCCAAAGGATGACGATATTCAAGTGACAGATGCATTTCTTGCTGGTAAAGCAGCCGAGATTGTGTTCAAGAAAGCAATCCAAGAAATACCAGGTTTGTGATATGATTTGTGCAACTTGGTATTAGTAAATAATCATTATTCGTAGTATATAATAATAAACATTATTCGTAGTAGTTTCCTCCTAAAACAAGCTCCAAATTACATGTAAATGGAACAACTTGTAAATAAAAGAGCGACTATTACAAAAAAGTAGCAAARAGTAAAAATAGCAAAGAGTACATGTGATGATCAAGGTTATCAATAGTTTTGWAAGAAATTAGGTACATAATTAAAAGGGAGACAGGGAATTAGAATTGTATACATGTAGGGTAATATTGGATTGTGCTTAAATGGTTTATATGTGTACTGATTTTTTGTTACCTCCTTGTCTTCAGATGATTTTGACTTTAGGTTGTCTTTCCTCAAAATATATCAATTGTTTCAAAACACTAAAGCAGGCCAGGATCTTATATTTGAAAGGTACATCTTACAATAGATGTCAGCTGATATTATTAGATGCTCATGTACAGCTGTTTGCAATAATTCTGACCCCCTCTGCTATATTTCATATATATCAAACTGACCTTTAATATTATGGGATATCATGACTGATATATTTTTTGAGTTGTCCAGAATGACTACTTTCTCAAAAAAATATCAGCATTGGTATCCCATAATTTCTAAGGCTACTTTGATATATATGAATATTAGTGTAGGGGGGTCAGAATTATTGCAAATAGCTGTACACTGTTTAATAATATTATGGAAAAATCTTGTTATTTCCTACTTTCAGTCTAAAGGAAGACTTTGGTGATACAGAAGAATACTGGAATGCCTTGGCGGGCCGGTCAATGGATGATTTATACACCAAATACAAGAAAGGTGAAATAATATGTTGGTCTTTCCCACAACAGTTGGTTGTTAAAGCTGTTATACTGTATATTGGATATGTTTTTTTAGAACATTGTTATTTTTTGTTTGTAGAATGTGATCCCAGTAASGCTGTAAGTGAAAGGGACAAAATTTTTAATGAAGCAGTTGAAAAATTACCAACAGGTATGTTTATAGTCCTGGGTCTCAGCAGCTGCTTATTAGAGCTTAATTGAATTTTACAKTTCAGTAAGCTGAGGTCAGTATAGAGCAAAGAATTGATACAAAATTGACTCAAAAACACTACATAATTGTGATCATATTTTTTTTTGTCAAAATGAAATGGACCAATATTCTAAAAAGAATGTTTATTAGCATGTCAATCACTAATTTCTTGCATAAAACGGAATCCGAATATATCATTTAATATATATCAATTAATTGCTTGAAAGAAGCCCATGTTATGAATCGTACATCAAATAACTGATGACAGATGATGATTCMCTTGTAACCTAGCAACGACTTCTCATTATAAAAATCCTTTACTGGTTGAACTTCTATTACTGTAGCATGTTCTTAGGGGCATCATAAAAKGTGGCACRAATCCCATTTTACATTTSGATGCGATTCCACTCAARAATCACATAATCCCATCAATTTTGTTAAAGTTTRAMATAGCATTCCAAKTTTCTATTRTTCTTWTATTTATAAATCCCATTCCCAGTGCATCCCATTCCCAGTSCATGYTCAGTCAACAGTGGGACCAATCCAAACCCCCYTCMAGACCCCCTGTTATCAGCCTTTTGCTGTGTAAATGATAACAAAATTATCTTTGATGTTACCTTCCAGAGAAGATGTGGGACTATTACATAAGTGCACTGTCAGACCACATTGAAGTAAATTCCAGTATGAACCACCAGGTAATATCACTAAAATACCTCAATCTGAATCCTTCTTGAGAATGAAACAAGAAACATGCTACAATCATGAGAATCAGTCTTGATAGACATTAACCAATAAATAAACAGTTAACTGATTTATATCAGGTGTTGATAGCATCATATCGACATTTACCAAATCATGTGCAGTTTTTAGTTGTATTTTCTATTCTTTAAATGCCATTGATGTCATAAAATGTCCAAATCTCAAGTGAGCCATTTTATGTCTCCAAGCATGCGTGAATTTGAGAACGTATCACTCAAAACTGCAAGGATGTTGTTTTTTTTTACCACATTTTAGTCTAAAATTGATGACAATCAGTATTTTCTGRGAATGCATGCGAGACACACTGTAATCATCTAATCAGCATGTAAGAATTTACACAAGGATTGTAAAATGTATTATTCATAGTTCATTACTTTGTGTTGGTGTAGGGTGTTGAAAAGTGTTTAAACGTCTGTGAAGCTGCAAACAAGAAAAAGTTGCTGTCATCGCATAGCTTYAAAACAATGGTAAGATGACATTGGGGATAGACAAGAGTTGTGATTGTTGCAGAATTCCTGGTATTGATGATAGTGATGATAATTTTTCTGTAAAATAAAACATTCCTTCGTT